TGTATCAATCAATCAATCAATCAAATCAAATCAATCAATCAATGAATCGATCAATCAATCAAACCCTTTTGTTGTTCATTTGTTTTCAATTTTTGCATCTTCATTTTTTTTTAAAACCTAATTTCCCTACAAAAAACCGAAATTCATTTCAAAAAAAAAATACAGCACAACTCAGGGACCATATCCCTCATGATAAAAAATGGCCAAAAAAAAATCCTGCTTTTTTTTTTTTTTTTTTTTAATATTTTGTTTAAATCGAATTTCGTTTTTCGTTTTTTAAAAATCTTAAACAAAGTCCGATTCCTGAATAAAAAACATAGGATTGTAGGGTTTTCCAAGCCCTACATCCCTATATTTGTTTTGTTTTTTTTTTACGTATTTTTAGGGGTAAAAAAAAAAAATTAAAAAAACAGGCTGCGGATTGGGACTCGTCGGCCAAGGCCGCGGCCGAATTGCCCTCAGGAGATAGCAGCCCCCGTTCTCTCTGTCCCCCTTAATCATCATCTCACCCATCCAGGTGGTTGGCCCTCTTTGGCATGACTTGACTGCAGGTGACGTTTTGACGAAGGATCCCTCTGCGTTATTCTTCCTGCTTCCTGCCATCAGTTGTGTTAACCTGCTGGTATCTGTTGGGCTGGCTTGTGGACTGGCCAGCCAACCCCCGCGCAAGCTGGTATGTGGCAGTAGCCTGCTGAATACTAGTTTTGGCGACGGGACCAGAGTACCTGCCTGCCACCACCTACCTGTGGAGGAGAGACTGTAAAGATGGAGGCCAAAGGTAATAGCAATCTTGTAAAAGGGCAAGCAACTTTTATGTTGGAGCTGTACCGTGCTGCATTGTCCGAGGGTGGTAAGGGCAGTATGGGCAATGAGAGCAACAAGCCACTGAACATAGCAGTCTCACCCGTGAGCATTGCTCTCGCGCTGGCGGTTGTCTCTGGTGGGGCAGCCGGGAACACGTTGACGGAAATACTTAACGTTCTCCGGCTTCCGGCAGATCTGGCCATTGCGCATTCTTCCTTGACATCTCTGCGTCGGAATCTGCTTGGAGGGCCCACCTCTGCCTCCACCTCAGATTCAGTTGCAGCCGACGTTCGCCGGCTTCCAGCAGATCTGGCCGTTGCGCGTTCTTCCTTGACATCTCTGCGCAGGAAATTCAATCGGCTTGAAGGGCACACCTCTGCCTCCACCTCAGATTCAGCTGCAGCCGTGAAAGTTCAGATTGCGACCGGACTTTGGGTGACTGATCAGCTGCCGTTGAAAAAGGAGTATGAGGATCACGTTGCCATGTACGAGGGTCGTGTGGTCCCTGCAGATTTTGTCGGGGCAGCATCACAAGTGCGTGAAGAAATCAACCGGTGGGTGAGAAATCAGACATCAGGAAAGATACAGGAGATCGTCCCTCAAGGCCTGCTGAACGAAGCCTCTGTCTTTGTGCTTGTTAACACACTCTACTTCAAGGGATTGTGGCAGAAAGTCTTCCGTAAAGAGTGTACTCACCCTGGGAACTTCATGATACCGGCCAAAGGTGGTGGCTTGGAGACTGTGTCAGTTCCAATGATGCGGAATAAAGGGAGCTACAGCGTCGGAAACCACAACGGTTTTCGGATTCTGCGATTGCCTTATCGGGTTGGGGGAGCGGAGGACCGGCGTCAACTGGCTATGTACATTTTCCTCCCAGATGAGGTGGATGGGCTTGCAAAGATGGAGGGATCGTTGACTGCCGAATTGCTCGAGGAGTCCTTCGGAAACATGTATGACAGCCACCTTACCACACTTTTGCTCCCAAAATTCAAAGTCGCATCAGGCCTGAAACTCAACCAGTTGCTGAAGGATATTGGCATGAAGAGCGCATTCGATCTGGAAATTTCGGATTTCTCAAACCTATTCGATTGTCAAGATCGCGGAATTTGCATCTCTGATGTCCTGCATGATGTGTGCGTTGAGGTAGATGAACACGGCACAGTTGCAGTAGCAGCAACCGTTGTGGTAATGCTGGCCGGCTGTTCGAGGACGCCCCCCCCCCCCAACGAGTTCATTGTGGACCATCCTTTCCTTTTCATGATACGAGAGGACAGATCCGGTGTCGCTCTGTTTCTTGGTCGGGTTGTAGATCCTCGGCCTTCCGATTAGTTGTGAATGTTAGAGTGTTTTTGCACTCGTCAATGGGATGTGGGTGGGTGCAATACCACATGAGGTCGAGTGTTTGTGGGCACATATTACCATGGCTTAATGGTTCTCAAATGTAATAATGGTTCATAAGCAGATCATGAGGTCGAGTGCTGATGGGTACGCCAATCATGGGTCAATTTGTGGGGCGTGTTGCCGTGCAACATGTCGTGAATATGACAGTGTTCTTGCAGCTCTTTCGCCAATATAAGTTTTCTAATGGATGGGTGCAAGTCCAGTATGGGTCTATTTGTTGGTCGTGTTGTGGATCCTCGTCCATGCAATGTGTTGGGAATATTTCAGTTTTCTGGTGAGCCTGCAACTGTGCCTTCCCAAAAAGGGCAGCTGCTTTAAAATTGGAATGATAAGGACAC